GATCTTTCCTAATTCTTACCGCGCTAGTAAGGACTCTTCTCTGGCACCGGGGATCCATGCGAATCCCGCTCGTGACAGTACCACGAACGCCGGGATCCCCTGCGCTGCGCCGGACGCTGCTAATCTAGCAGCATGCAGTCCGGTCCAGCCCAGGCCAGCCGGGACACGACCAGCTGATAGATGAGATGGATGGTTGGTTCCAGGCTGGTTCGTCTCTCTCCAGTTCTTCTTCCTGCGCGCGCACGGCGTTATGTCGCGGTGTCGCCGCCCCTCACGCACGCATTCCATCTCTTCTCTCCTCTCACGGGAGGGATACACAAATCATTGATGACCCGGCCACGGGTGTCGGTACCCTCATTAACAAATCGTTGGAGGCAGCAATTATTGTTCATCCCCGCGACCGCGTCGAAAAGGGGATTTGTAGCCCCGGCAAGTTGCAGCCTGCAACCGGAAAGGGGGGCCTTCGGTGTTTGGTGCTCACGTTCTGGAACCGGGCACGGGCCGAGATGGAGACGTAGATCCAGTCATCACCATCTACCCGCATGAACCGAAACATCTTTAATTGCTTACTATCAGTCGCGGTTTACTGAGAAGTTTCAGTATGGGATATGCATGTGACAGTGAGAATTGACACAAGTATGCCCCCCAATATTTTCTTCTGAAAGCTTGTCGCAAAGTTGCTTTCTGAAAATTCCCACTGCAAAAGAAGGCACCCAAAAGTTGTTTGAACTCAACAGTAGATCTCATGATTCAGAGGGTAGATGCCCAACACCCATCATGGAATTTGAGCGCATCACCACCGCCACGCCTGATGGCATGGCAACCTCCGTCATCTGAGACGGCAACAAAGATGCCTGCCTCTTGACAACCTATACTGTTACTAGGCAATCACGAGTACACGCGGGCCTGTTTGGTTTCCACAGGAGCTCACAATTCATGTCACGTCGAATATTTAGACACGTGTATGGAGTATTAAATATAGACTAATTACGAAATTAATTGTATAACTTACGATTAATTTACGAGACGAATCTTTTAAGCATAATTAGTCCATGATTTGACAACGTTGTGTTACAGTAAACATGTGTTAATGATGGATTAATTTGGCTTAAAAAATCCGTCTCGCAAATTAGCCTCCATCTATGTAATTGGTTTTGTAATTAATTTATATTTAATACTCCTTATAAGTATCTAAATATTCGATGTGACATAAATTTTAGGAGCGACTAAAGAACCAAACACCCCGCAGTCACCAGCAGGGAGCAAAGGTCAGGCCAGGCCAGGCCAGCAGCAAGGGACAGGCGGCACTGCAGGAGGATCTGGAACCCACAACCCAGGAGCACCTTTCAGTTGCAATCGCACAGTTTGGCACACCTTGCAAAGCAAACCGAAGCATCAATAAGCACAGTGGCGACGTTACAAAACTTACCAGCTGAAGAAATCAGTTATGCCTCATTCATCAAAAAGCGTCCGAACACTTCCATGTTTCATATGCCATGTGTACCGGCCAAATAAATCAGTTGTCTTCCGCTGGAGATGCACGCAAAGTTGATCGGTATTGATCGCGCACTATTGCAAAAGTAAGGAACACATGATCCGGTACATCAACATTAACTGAGTCACTGTAATCTGTATTACAAACTACGTACCTGTCACAAAAGTTGACGTCCTCATTCAATATACTGTCTGCAAACCACGTGAATGTGAGTGAAAAGTGCGGGCATCGGCCGGTAAATAAATCAACTCTCTCATACTCATGTTAAGGTCAATTTGAAGTTACCTAAGTAAGCCCATATGATTAAGGAGATCGCAACTAGTAGTTGGTATCAGTAATATATAGGCCATTGTAATAATATAAGTACACGAGGTTCTTCGGGGGAAAAAAGTAACAAGTACACGAGATCAAACGTATATAATGAATGGCCACTTGAAAGGAAAATGGCTATGCACAGCAGCACAGGCATGGAAAGAAGCAACCCTAGACAAAAACAAAGAAGTAACGCAACATATTCACAAACATGACTGGTCACCTACTGCCTTGGAACAGTATGAGAATGACTAATCAATTGCTCAAGCTAAAAATATACTTGCAACACCCAAGAGAAAAACAGTATATAATTTTGCAATATGCCAGCTAATGGAAGATCTCATGATTGCTAATGGTGTGGTCTCACTCAGGTTTCACTGTAAGCAGACTTGGCAAGTTGGCATCAGTCGGCAATAAGGAAATCAACTATCATCCCAAAAGGGCTCCTCAGCAACAAGGATAAATCTTTGAGAAACCATTTAAAAATAATAAATATATATATATAAGGATAACACCAAGAAAAACTGCACAGCAGACTTCCAAGGAGAACAATGTAGAAAATCAGAATACAATAATGCTGAACCTCTTACCTTGACCTGCACAGGTTCATGACTTCTTGCGCCGACAAATAATGTGCATTAGACACAATTGCCACTTATCTTTGGAAACAACATAATCAGGCTAGGTTTGCACAGACTCCCATGGAAAAGCATCGACCTTCACATACAATAAATATGAAAAAAAAATACCACAGGTTGTTAATAAAATAATCATGCAGACCTAATAATGATAATTCAGACAATCCCACAAATGAAAACACAGATCTACAACAAAGTAAGTCAACTCAAAGGTTACAAGTGGTGCAGTCCTCCAATCCATACAACAACTAAAAATGTGCGGAACTTTCAAAATAGAAAATATAAAAATAAATGTTGTAAGCATGCCATTGACCACTGTATAGTTCAAACATTATCACTAATAAAAAACGGTCTATCTTGGAGCAGACAAGGCATATGCTATTCAATAATCATAAAAGGGAATAACTACAGACCATGATTTACGATAGTGTAATTTGAAACAAGGTAACTAATTGGTATTGGTGATACTATACAAACTGATGCTATTTTTTTTTCACGATACAGACTGATGCTATGATTTGTACTTGAGATCAACAACAACAACAACAACAACAACAACAACAACAACAACAACAACAACAACAACAACAACAACAACAACAAAGCCTTTAAGTCCCAAACAAATTGGAGTAGACTAGAGTTAAAACCCAGCAGAAGCAATCAAGGTTCAGACACGTGAATAGCTATTTTTTAAGCACTTCTGTCTAAGGCTAAGTCTTTGGGTATATTCTATCCTTTCAAGTCTCATTTTATTACATCTACCTAAGTCAACTTCGGTCTTTCTCTGTCTCTCTTCACGTTACTATCCTGGCTTAGGATTCCACTTCGCACCGGTGCCTCTGGAGGTCTCCGTTGGACATGTCCAAACCATCTCAACCGGTGTTGGACAAGCTTTTTTTCAATTGGTGCTATCCCTAATCTATCACGTATATCATCATTCCGAACTCGATCCCTTCTTGTATCACCGCAAATCCAACACAACATACGTATTTCCGCGACACTTATCTGTTGAATATGTCGTTTTTTCGTAGGCCAACATTCTGCACCATACAACACAGCAGGTCTAATTGCCGTCCTATAAAACTTGCCTTTTAGCTTCTGTGGTATCCTTTAGTCACATATGACACCAGATGCTTGACGCCACATCATCCATCCTGCTTTGATTTTATGGCTAACATCTTCATCAATATTCCCGTCTCTTTGTAGCATTGATCCTAAATATCAAAATGCATCCTTCCTAGACACTACTTGACCTTCCAAGCTAATATATTTCTCCTCCCGAGTAGTAGTGCTGAAGTCACATGCCATATCCTCAGTTTTAGTTCTACTGAGTCTAAAACCTTTGAACTCCAAAATCTTCCTACCATAACCCTAGTTCCTGATTCACTCCTGTCTGGCTTCACTTAAAACTCAGTAAAGGAATGAAGCATGCTAGACAAAACATAGAACCAACACAGCATGTTCAAAACTCAGCACACTATGGCACATGAGACTAGTCATCTGCGCAAGCTAAAATGTGCACGCAACATCCGAGAAATATACTTTTCACGAAATGAGACCTAATACAAGGCCTCATAATTGCTAATGCTTGTGGTTTCACTCGGATTTCATTGTGCGTAGATGGGCACCAGCTGGCAGAAAGGATATCAACTATCATCACAAAAGGTTCCTCATCAACCAGGATAATCTCTGAGAAAACTCTTCCTGAATTCAAATGCAAGTATAATACAAGGAAAATGAAACAGTGGACTTAGCAAATTAAACATACAAAAAAGCTGAGGCTTCTACCTTTACTTAACAGTTAACACTGGTCCATGACTTCATGTACCAACAAATAAAGGTGTCACCGAAAACACACCGGCCAGGTTTCAAAGAGCTCCAACGGAGGATCATCACCGTTCACTGCATTGAAATATGAAGAGAGAAAAAAACACAAGTTGCTGACAATCATGCAGATCTAATAGTAATAATTCAGGCATCCACAAGTGAAAAATCAAATCTATAACAAAGTAAGTCAACCCAAGGATTACAAGTGGTACAGTCCCTCAATGTGGCACCACAAACTCGTTTTTATGATAACTTCATTGAAATAGAAAACTAGAGACGGTACAGAACTTTTATTATAACTTCATTGAAATAGAAAACTAGATGTAGCACCATAAACCAGTTTTTACTTTTCTATAAGAATGCAAACACCATTTAATATTTTCGTCAAAGACAAATACAGAGATAAAATCATAAAACAATGAAGGAACACATATCACATACAAATTGAACAAGGTACCCTAAATTTGAGCTGCTCTTTTACAAAAATACAACAAATATCAGCACATAACACAATGCTCATAGGCAAAACCTCCAACAGATCAGGATGAAAATGTCAAATGCCATTACAAAAACAAGGTGGCTCATTTGTTATGCAGATTCTACAACACCAGTTCCCTGCAAATTTAGCAGAGAACTGTATATATTTAATGGCTTACGAAGTGTATTTTGCTAACAGTTATAATAAAAGTTCCATGCTCACAAAAAGGGTTTGGTTCTTATCAACCATCTTACGAAGTGTATTTTGCTAACAGTTCTGACAGTCTATGTTTTTCTTGTTTAGATATTCCAGGATAAATCTTAGGAAGGTTGCTAAGGAATGCTTTGGCCTCTACCATCCTTCCATGTCTACAGTAGCCCTGCAGTATTGCCGCGTAAGTTCTCTCATTTGGCTTGCAACCTTGGGTAACCAAATAGCGTACCAAATCAATAGCTTCTTCAAACATTAAGCTGGCAACATAGCTCTTGATGAAAATATTGTATGTTACAATATCTGGTTTCACGCCTGAACATTTCATCTCAGAGAACAACCTTGAGGCTTCTTTCATCTTTCCTTTTCTTCCATATGCATATATCACAGTGTTATAAGAGTATCGATCAGGGCGCATGTCACTTGACTTGATCTCAGTGAGAATTGCTTCACACTTTTCGCAATCACCTAAACGAGAATACATATGCATCAAGCTGTTATATGTTGCAGCACTGTGGTTGATAGAATTCTCCTTCATGAGGGAAAGGACCTCCTCCACCTTCTTAACCATCTTATTTTTCCCATATATGGATACCATGGCGTTAAGAACATTAATGTCCAGGGAGCAGCGCCTCCTCCTCAGTTCCTGAAACGCCTTTTCTGTCTTAGATATATTATTAACTTTGTTATTGACCAAGACCAGTGTTTTTACTAGCCAATTGTGTGGTTCAATCCTCTCTGCATATATATCTTCCGATAAAGCTTTCATTTTGTCCAACTTCTTAGCATTAGCATATGCATGAAGCAATGAGGAATAACTGAGCTCATCTGGCTTACAATCCCGATCCTCCATCTCAGCAAACAGCTTTTCTGCCTGTTCCCAGCGACCACCCCGAGACAACGCAGATAGAACAGCATTATACGTTGAAATGTCTGGATATATACCGGCTTCTATCATCCTCTTGTATATCTCCATTGCTTGATCAAACAAACCACATCGACTATATGAACTAATCAGTGAAACATATGTGTCCCTCTCAGGGATATAGCCAGCTTTCTTCATCTCTTTGAACACCCCTGAAACCTCAGTGTCTAGACCATTCTGCCCAAACACGGACAAGAGCGTGTTCCAGGTGACAACATCTGGCACATAACCAGCAGACCTGAGGTCATCAAAGACATTCATCATCTCTGTGAACTTTCCCCTCACCCCGTGCATCTTGATCAATGCATTGTAGGTGCACAAGTTCGGGCTACATCCGTTCCTCACCATTTCACTGTATGTAGCAAGTGCTGCATCAATTTTGCCAGTTCTGTCAAGGCCAGAGATCAATGTCGTGTATGTAATCACATCCGGCTTCATCCCCCTGAACTCCATCTCCTGTTTTAGCTCCAGAGCCTCTTCCAACAACCCATCTTTCACATAAGCCGAGATGAGTGAGTTGTAAGTCACCACGCTGGGTGTACATCCCGCATTCTCCATCTTCTTTAGCACCCCAATCGCCTCCTCATACCTCCGCGCCTTACCATAAACATCCAGCAGGGAATTGAATGTGACCTTGTCAGGTTCGAATCCAGCAGCCTTCATCTCATCGAACAGCTGTGCTGCCTCCCTGTAAAGGCCCCTTCGGCGGCAACAACTAATGAGCGTGTTGTATGTATACCTGTCCAGCTCAATGGCGTCCTCCTTCATGGAGTCCACGAGCGCCACCACCTCTTTCCATGGGACAGCCATCTTGGAGTAGACATGGAGCACGACGTTGTAGGTGACCAACGCGGGCTGCACGCCGCCATCCACCATGCGCCGGAACACGGCGACCGCGTCCCGGAACCTCCCGGCACGGGAGAACGCGGACACGAGAGCCGTGTATGCGCTGGCGGCGGGCGCCGGCGCGGCCTCGAGCAGAGCGGAGGCCTCAGCGAGGCAGCCAGCGCGCGCAAACACGCGGATGGCAGTGGGCAGTACGCGCGGGTGGTGGAGAGCGCGGCCTCCGTGGAGGTCCCGCGCGGCGCGGACCGCGCCAAGAGCGGCGCCGGGGTGCCCCCCTCGGGAGGCAAGAGTGTTCAGGACAGCGGGGAGGTCGGTCTCGGGGAGCACCGAGAGGACGTCGCGCGGGGAGGCCAGCTCCGCGGGGTCGGCGAGCAGGCCGAGGAGCGCGCGGCGAGCAGGGAGGGAGAGGGACGGCGGCAGGTGCCACGGCTGTTCGCCGCGGGAGGTGTCCAGCGGGCGGCCGAGGCGCGGCTTGCGGGAGGAGGAGGCTGGGGTGGGGCGGGAGGTGGAGAGGAGGGAGGTCGGGGAGAAGAGGCGAGGAGGGGAGGAGGACGGTGTGTGAGGCTGGCGGTGGGTGATGATGGGGTTGGGGATTGTAGGACGCGACGGTGGCGCCGGCGCGCGGAGGGGCAGCGGGAGGGCGAGCGTTTCGGCCATGGCGCGGCCGGTGGGAACAGGCGGGGTTTAGGGGTTATCGACGGCCGGTGGGGGTAGCAGTGGCACCGCCGCGGCCGCTCGTGGGAACGAGAGGATATGGCACGGTAAACGCTGGCGCCTGGCGGTGGCGCGGAGCTGGTGGTGGGAGCCGGCGTCCCGGTGATATTACCGGTGCTGGGCTCCCGGCCGCTTGGAGGCCGAATTGCGGCAATGGAATGTGCTCTAATGGGCGGGCTGCTTGCGACGGGCCGGCCAGTCTGTTTCGGATTTTCTTTTGTTGAAAGGAGTCTGTTTTGGCTTGAGAGTTGAGAGGCAAGGGCGTAGATAGGTTTCAAGAAGTTTGTCACTGGCTAGTGGCCACTGACCGATGCATAAATTTTTTTAGCACGATTGGAGACGAATGTTTTTTTAAATAAGCATTATTATTTATTTATTTATATAACTTGTGCACTCAGGCATTCAACCAGCTAACATTGCAAGTTCCAGCCTCCCGAGTCCTGCCAGTAAGCAGAACCTAAGAAACAGCAAAACAAGTGTAAACTCACACAGCAAAAACTAAGCGAGAAATTATAAGACATCCACTACAGAATATTTTCGTAACCATTTATTTTCAGCATATGGCACAACCACTTCTTTTTTGAAACAATGCATAACCACTTCTTTTGAGGCGATGGATTCATATCCGGGATGGAGATTTGCCTTAGAGAATCATGCCGCCTTAGAAAAGGGCTTGGGGAGGCACGCTGACTAGGCAAAGAAGGCGGGCGCGGGGGCAAAGCAACAAGGTGGTGGAAAGCATCCGGTCCGAACGGTCGGACCGGAGCCGTCCGCCGAATAGTGCGCAGGAACCGTGGCGCGCAGGAGCGCATGTCCGTGCCCGGGAAGCCGCAACATACGGAACTACGGAAGCAGGTACAATACGTTATTAGTCTGGAAGTAGGTACGTTAGTATTTCTTTATTTCTTTTTCTTTTCTGTTCTTTTTCCTTTATTTTCTCTTTTTCTTTTTTCTTTTTTTCTTTTTGTGCTTCTTTTTATTTTTATTTTCTTTTTATGTTTTATGTATTATTATTATTATTATTATTATTATTTATATTTTATGATTCTTTTATTTTCCCTTTTTCTTTTTTCTTTTTCTTTTTTCTTTTGATTTCTTTTGTTTCTTTTCAAATTATGTTTTTCTTTGATTCATGTTTTTTATTTCTTAATTTCTCTTTATTTTTTTCTTTTTCTTTTTTTCTTTTCTTTTTTTTTTTTTCTTTTGATGCATCATTCATTTTTTCTTTCCTTTTTTTCTTTTTTATGTTTTTATTATTATTTCCATTTTTATAAATTTATATATTTTTTTATCTTTATCTTTATTTTATTTTTCTTTTCTTTCTTTTTCATATTATTTTTTTGATGTTCTATGTTGTTTTTTTACGTTGATGTTCTATTTTTTATGTTCACGTCTTATACATGTGATGTTCTGTGATTTTTTTTATGTTCACGTGTTATACATGTAATGTTCTATGATATTTTTTGCGATGTTCATGTAATATATATATATATGATGTTCTCGTAGTATACATGTGATGTTGTATGGTATTTTTTTGTGATGTTTACAAAGTATAATGTGATGTTCTATGATGTATTTAGTGATCTTCACGTAATATATATGCGATGTTCGATAACGTATTTAGTGATGTTCTATGGTGTATTTAGTGATGTTCACATAATATATATGCGATGTTCTATGATGTATTCATTGATTTTCTATGGTGTATTTAGTGATGTTCACTTAGTACACATGTGGTATTCCTTGATGTATTTAGTGATGCTCACGTAATATATATGCGATGTTCTATTATTTATTTAGTGATGTTCTATAGTGTATTTAGTAATATTCACTTACTATACATGTGATGTTCTATAATATTTATTAGGATGTTTAAAAAGTATCCATGTGATGTTCTTTTAATTTTTCTCTATTAACTATTTTTATTTTTTTCCTTATGCTTTTGCTCTAGATTTTATTATTTATACTTATGTTATATATTTATTTATTTATTTTTATGTATAGTATAGTACTAATTTCATGAATCTAAAACTAGAACATCGTTCTTCTAAACCAAGAACATTTTTCTTATGAATACGGAACATTATTCTCTGAACCTAGAATATTGTCTCTACTCAATAAAAGAAAATATTTTATCTTTATAAGAAAAATGTTGGTTAATAAAATTTTGTCCAAATATATCCCGTGGGATCTTGTTTTGAAGGATTTATTACGAGAAATCTGATGGTGTAATCGGATTTTAATTTTGATGTATGGTTTAGGAGTTATGACTTTTTAATTCGTTAAAAGTCATTTGCATGTGTGGGTGAGTAGTCCCCACGTGATGGGACAGCCTGTCATCCGTCCGCGCGCACGCCTTGTCCTGCTGCTTTACCGACGTGGGTTACGGTGGGCAGTTACGGGTATAGGTGGAAAAAGTGGGCGAGAAAAGTATCGGTAGGAAGTTATGGTCTGATGGGCGGACGCTAGCAGCCCCCACAAGGTGGCGAGGCCACCGTATGTTGGGAATTTTTTATTTTTATTTTTAAGCAATATTTTAATACTAATCCATAAAAGAAGTATTTGTAAACCTAATCCTTTTTATCGCGTCAGCTAGTCGTGATAATACCACGCTGTTGCCCCACATGCGCTGGCGCGATAAAACGAGCCATGGTGGCGCCCGTCATTGACCGTAGCTGGCGTGGTAGAGCGTGTGCCTAGAGTGGGCCCCGCTCTGTCGCGCCAGCGAGTCCGGCACGACAGAGCTATCGTGCCAGTCGGGCTGGCGCGACGGGCCCATATAAGGGCGCGCCTAGCTTCTTTTTCCTCCCTTTGTTCTCCCCCCTTCACTCTTATAACACCTCTGGATGTTACGAGGTTGCTTAGCACCTAGGTTAATGTCTAAGAGTAATTAGTAAAATAAATTTTTGGGTTTGAAAGTTTGAAGCACACGTGGAATTATAAACGACGCTTGTGTGACTCACTTTCGTAAATAAAATGAGCGTAAGTGTCGCTAGTCAACTTGTCTCGGTGCTTAGCAACTTTTAAATAATCTTACGGATAAAAGTTGTTTCGAGCTTATTTTGAAATAATATGAAGAAAGCGCTTAAAAATATCTGATAGCAAATAAGTAGCGGATTTGAAGTGCGAGTTAGTAGTTAAAAATGGAAGTGTTGATTTGGTGAATGGATGTTGTTCCATGGTATTTTTGATAGCTCAAAAATTGAAATTAAAATTTAAAAACCATCTTCTCGCGTCAACGCTAAAAATCAGAAATTATATTTTAAAACGTTGTTGTGGCGATTTGTTTTGCTCAAAATAATTACATAACACCCTAATATTTTGTTACATGGCTTGGTACGGAGTATGAGCTATCGCGTGAGATGTTTATTGGTGGAAGTCAATAGAATTTAGATATTTTGGAGTTGCGGACAACGTATCATTGTTCACATCCGCGTCGCATCATCTCATGCGCAGGCACGCCGCCAGCAGAGCCACGCGACGCCCATGTGTTCAGTTGCTGCATGATCTCTCTTGTCCTTGCTGCTGCCGCTGCTGTCCTTGCCTCACTACCATCCTAGCCGCTTGAATACGGTGGTACATCCCCTGCTCTGAATCAATCGATCATCTAATTTATTAGCGTCGCGCCACGTTGTCGGATCCTATCGCCATGTACGCGGGCTTTCTAGACATCACTGACCGGGGCCATGCCGCTACTGCCTCGCTCACCTAGCGCCGCCCTTTCCACTGCCCTCACCATCCCTCTGCTTGCCTCGCATCGAACCGCCTGGCTCCCTTGGCCAGCGCTGGACCACGACCGTCATCGCCGTCGTCGGCCCCCCCCGCCCCGCACGAGCGTGCGAGTGTGCTGAGTTCGCACGGTCCCACGCTCGACTTGCGGCTCCACTGTGCGGCCGCTTCCTTCGCCTGTCGCCGTGCGCGCCAGCGCGCCTGGGCCCGTGTTGCTGCGCCGCTCCATGTCCGTTGCCCGCTGCCCCGCAGCACCTGCCAAGGCCGCGCCCGCTGTCGCCGTGAGTCCATGCTGAGCTCGCGCGCCTCTCCATCGACCGTCGCCACCGCACCGCACTTTTCAAGGCCCCGAAAGCACGCTGCTGGCCGTGCCCATGGCGCCCCGCCGAAGTCGCTTTCACCTCTCCGCCTGCGCCGCCCGTGGCGCTGCAGCGTGCATCGTGTCAGCCAGTGCCATGGCCGCCCATCGCTGCCTCCTCTGCCGCGGCCGCATGTGACCGTTGTGTCGAGCTCCGCCTCGGTCCGCGCTATGTCCAGCTGACCCTGGTAGTAGCCGCGCACCTCCCCATGCGGGCTTCTGTGCACCTCACCGACGGGCTTCCTGCCGCCGCCGTGCTTTCCCCGGCCGGGTTTGACTACCGGCCGGTGCCTCCGCTCCGTGCTCTGCTTTTGGGGAGAGAGAGCATGTGAGAAAGTGTGAATAGGAACTAATATAGGGTTCTAGGTGTAAATTACGTGACTCATATAAATAGTACTCTAGATCTTGGGTTGAATAGAGAAAAGCATGGGGTCCTTTCTGCAAAAATGTGCGCCGTGCCTAGGCCACGCCTCGTGGGCCGGCCTGTTGGGCCGCTAGCCACCACCTCATGCATGTCGCTTGACTGCTCCGCGCCCGCCTAGCTTAGTTCAGTAGCGATGGGTCAAGACGCGCCGCCGCCTCTGTCTGGCCGGCCGGGTGTCATTGGGCGAATAGGTGGCGTCACCCCTTTAGTTTTCTAAGCAATTGTTAATTTAGTTTCGGAAATAAACTTGTAAAATCAATATAAATTTGTGCGGTTGTCCAAAAATTATGAAACCAATTTTGTTAAGCTCCTAAAATCATGATCTATCTATTAGCGTATTTGGTTCATCTAGTTTTGAAATGTTTTCAAGGTTGCTCTAATTATTTTTAAATCTTTAGTATTGTTAAAATATGAACTTGTAGGAATTTCCGT